GACAGTCACACAAGAATTATATGTAACCCCAGTCCCTGTTGCTGTAAGGCAGCAGTACTAACCACTGAGCCACCATACCAGCCAACTTCCTCAGGTTTTGACCTGTCACATGTGCACCAGCTAGTTGTTGTCTTACTTCCTCCTGGTAAATTCTAGGCTGAATCTTGTTTGGCAGAGTTGTCTTGTATATATTCTGCCATTGAGTAGCTCAAAAGGCAATTTTGCGTTAGGCTTCAGAGGGGCACCTCAGCGTACTGATAAGGCAAAGGTCTTCCTTTTGTCTCTCAGTATTTCGTGAGGGTTTCTTTTGCCGTCTAAATATGTCATTCTATAAATGTGAGCTTCTGGGTAGTGTGATGATAAACCTATACTGTTCAGTAAATTCCTTAAGCACTTGACAATGAAATTAGGTTCTATTCTTACATACTGCCCTTTAAAGAATCTCTTGCTTAGCAATCTAACTTATACTTTTGTGATGATTGTTGTCGTTCTCATTTTTTTTCTTTTCTGATAATTTGGAACTTTTGAGCAGTAGTCTCCTACTATGCATTGCTATTCTTGATTATATGCGAATAAATTGTCTCCCCAGCATGCCAAGTTTAGGTCCATTTCACTAGCTGTTATTTCCTCTTTCTACTGTGTGTCTGTACATGTCTGGCATGCATGACTCGTAGATACCATTCTTTTGATTTATTTGTAGAAGGGCATCCATTTCAAAGTTGATATGTCTCTGAACACTCACGCTTCCATTGCCATGTGGTCTTCCTGTATCTTCTGGAGATGGTCTTCCAACATTGTTTTGGATTCAATGATTCTGGATCTAACCAACTGAATGCCATCTGACAGACAACTGGAATAATTTTGATTGACTTGTTGAAAACCTTGCAATGTGCACTGTCTTTTTCTTGGCAAAATTAAAGTTAACTAATATTTGGAGCAGTCAAATGTAAATCAACAGTGGGACTCGAATGCGACAGCCCCTTGGAATTATGTCTCCCCTGAAAGTTACAATGTTCACTGAGTGCTGGCTTCAACAGTTTAAAAATGCATACAAAAGAAATCATCACAAAATGCATTCCTGACTGTTTTACTGTATCTTATCAGGACACCCTAGGCTCACTTGCTGAGAGAACATCTGTAATCCTGTCTTTACTGGTTTCGTCTTCAATTTGACTCTGTTTCAGAGGTGTAATGTTCCTAGGTGGTGTATTTTTACATCTAGATCTTTTAGATCGTGTGGCAATAGACAAATGGCATTGAACAGGACCATTTCTTTCCATGGCTTTTATTTGAGTGAAATTGTAACTTTGAAGCCCCCACTGTAAATTCTGCTTTCTTGCTCATGCTTTATAGAGCTTTTATCTTGCCAATCTAATCACATGAATGAAGACAAGTCTCTACTGTAGGAAGTTATGGAGCTTCTTATCTATACACATTTGGCTAAAAGATATTCTTTATTATATCTCACTCAGCAGATGTTGAAGTCATATCTGGCTGAGCAGATATTGAAGATTTGGATGCAAATGCTGAGAGTTTTTCCCTTTTAGCAGGCCCACACCCAGAGCTTTTTGTGAAAAATATTTACTTGTGGAATGACAAGTACTTTTTTAATATGACACATATCTTCTTGCGTACTATTTCCTTCAGTTTGTTGAAACTCCTCTCTTGACTCAGAACTCTGGTACTCAACATCCTCTCTGAACAGCTTTCGCAGGTTTACTGTGCGTTGTGATGTGATATATGAAAAAAACTTGTGTACTGAATCAAGCTAAGAAAACTTCTCAGCTCTTTCTTGTCTCTTGGAGCTTTCATTTTTGAGATAGTTGAAATATTTTTCAGGCCTCTGCTTGACTTCAAAGCTGTGTACGCTATTCTGAAGAATTGGTATTTTGTCGCTTTCACAATACATCTGTCTGCATTTAGCTCATCCCAGCTTTGATTTTTCTCATCCTTTTCATAGATCTTAATATCTTCAACTATGTATCATCCCAGTTACAGTATACCAGAAAAACTGCAAATTTGTCTTGTTGCCAAACATGTTGATCAAGTGATAAAGAAGATCAGTTTTTTGTTTTGCTTCTGGTCAGAGGGCACTTTTCAGTCATTCAGTGGCATTTCCTTCATCTCATGGTTTACCAAGATCAACTGCGGTTCCCAGCAACTTTTCAACTCCACAATAGCAGGGCCATCTGTTTTAGGAACAGACCATACAGTTACCATCTTTTCCTTTGTGTGTATTTCTGGTTTGGGTTGTTCCTAGTTGTTGAATTTCAGTTTGACCATGTGCCATCAACAGAACATTACTCCGAATGATGTTTCTCTGTGACCCAGAACCAAGCTTGAGCTTCATATTTATGGTTATGGCTTATTTCTTGCTGCCTTCCTGACCTGAATTGCGTGAATTTCTTTACCAGGTAACTCTCATTAAGACATTTCATGCAATTGTATTCTTATTGTCATCTGTCAGGGTTGTTGGTGATTTGGTTTCTTTCATTCACACTTCCCTGTTGCTCTCTTTATTCTGTACCTCTGTTCTCAGTGATTGGGCTTTCCACAAATGTTTCAGTTGGATACCAATGCAGGGCTTTCTCCTTCTCTCTGTGAGGTCATATGGTTGAGGAGAGCTCTTGTTCTTTTCTTTCTATCTAATGTGTTATATTTTGCTGCTATTTCACTGCATCAACCCTGTTATCATCTTCTTGACACAACTGAAGCCCAGTCACTTGGATAGTCAGTATCTTCATCTGTCTACTTGTGACTTCATGTGCTCCTGCAGTGTCTACATCCTGTGATGTTGTAAACTGGCTGTCCAATCAGCTTTTTGTTTATTGTTCTGCCGACCTTGAAGCCCAAGCTGATCTGCCAATCTTTCCTGCATTTCTTTGCATATCTACTTGCTGACTTCATTTCTCAAGCAACCTTCTGCAGAATGAGAGTTAATTTACCATAACTTAGAGTAAATAATCATAATCAGAAATTTAGAACTCAGTATTATATTAAGTCCACTACACCAATCTGTAAAGTTTGAAGTCAAAACCACTCATCTTATTTCATCAATGGAACTATTGTGCTGCAGAGAATGGATGTGGCAATAAACATTTGATTGTTTCAGAGTGTATGGAAAGTTCTCTGGCAACAGAACAGTAATCCGCTGTCTGTTGTAGGCTCTGCATGTGAAGGTAGTATTATAGTCAAGCCAGACCATAAAACCTAATATAATCAGTACGATTGTTTTGGAATGTTTTTGTTCAGGTAAACTGGATGAATGTACAATTAAGTAACCTTACTTGAAATTGAGGGAAAATAATCTGTATGTTAAAATGATATAAACAATATTTAATATGAATTATATGTTGATATTAAATATAATGAAACGTACAATAATACAGGTAAATGTTCACAATCACAGCAATAAAACACTGTTGGCTTACAGGATTTTATGTGGAAACATGAAAAATTTAATTGGCATTAAATGAGAACAAAAGAATAAACTTGTGTTGATAAAGCATCTTTTATAACCTCAAGATGTCCACAGTGTTTCACAATTAATTATTTTTGAGTTGCATTCACTGTTATAGAAAGAGCTTATTTTTCGAGGCATGTTAAAGTAGGAAATGTCCCAATTTACTTAAATTGACGACAAAAAAAGGAGTGTGTCAGTTTCCTTTAATAAAGGTGTAATTGATAAGAGAGGTTTTAAGGAGCGTCTTAATGGATCACGGAGAAATGGCAGCTGAGAGGTTTAGGGCTAGAAATTCAAGCTTGAGGGCTGAGGTAGATGATGTTCTGAATGCCAAAAATGGTCTGAAGCTAGTGGAGGACACATGAGAATATCAAAATCAAGACAGTCGGCGTGCATATAACAAGCTTCCATCAATAGCATTTGAGATAAATTTTCAGATGATCTCTTCTGGTTATTTGAGAGATGAAGGTTGGCTAGGGCAATTGATGAACTATTCTGCTCATCTTTGAATAGAATATGTTTTGACAATGCAGCCCTTTCCAGTACCGCATTGGGATGCCTTACTTGATTCCCTTGGGGCATGCAAACATTTTCGTTAACACATTTGCGCCCCTTGAAGCTGGCTTGTTTGCACAGGAATAGACTATCTGTCAGCTTCTCTTTACTTTTTTTAATGTTTGTTTTCATATATAAATAAATTGGTAAAGATCATGTTTCAGGAAAATAAGATTGCATATGCAATAACAAGAGACCCTGAAAATTAATATATTCAACACCACTGTCACCACAATGAGTGAACAATAAGCATGTAGAATGATAGAAAATGAACAGGAGACAGAGACTGTCAGCCAGGGAACAATGATCACATTATCATGAAACATCCGTTAACCATTACTTGCTCTTTCCTGTCACTCAGCCAATTTTGTATCCATGTTGCTACTCTCCTTTAGCTCATAAATCTATTGTACTCAAGTTTGTTTCATGCCTTCTGGAATTCCACGTGCACAACGTCAATAGCACGTACTCATCAATCCTCTCTTCTAATATTAAATCTCTTCTAAAATTCCGCCAAGTTAATTTAAACATTGGACTGAATTTTCCAAGCAATGGCTATCTATTGCAGATTGGATGGGTTTGGAGAAGGGAATGGTTGGCAGGTTGGGTACTTTAGAAGGAAGAGGGGTGGGGAGGCATCAGGTGTGGGGGGATCAGGTTGGGTCAAGTCCAATGGGGGCTGGGGGATGTTCAGGTGAGGGTCCAACACCATAGGGTCAGACCAAGGCAGGGCAAGATGATCTGGCCTCGGAGGGGTGTATCAAGTCAAGATCTGAGGGATGCAAGTGGTCTGAGAGAGATATAGTTGGGTGTGAAAAAGGTAAGTTTAGGGTCACTTTAATAGTTAATCAGAAGTTAGATTATCTATTTCATAGTCTAACTTCCCTTGGATAACTCTTTTACTTAATTTCATTCAAACCCACCAAAGTCTCCAATTTTTGTAGGGACTTTTAGAGAGTTCCGAGCGTCAAAGAATTGCCCTGCAGTAAATTCAATTTCCCAGGCAATTCTTTCAGAGTGTGCTACAGTGAGGATTCCACAGAGTCCCCAAGCATAACTCCTATCTACGCTGTAGTACCAACTGTCTGACCAGTGGAAAATCTATTTTCCCTTAAGCCACTTGTTTAATTAATTGGCATTCGTCTATGCTTCTCAAACAATCTTTAACCATATCAATTGTGCGTCCTAAAATTCTTCCAAAGTACTCCTACCTTGCCTCTCATCATCCCCCTTCAAAACCTTTTTCATCCTGGTTCTTGAAACCCTTTTTATTCGTAACTGACCTGTTCAGTCATATAATGATACACCTCCGTGGCAGGAGGGACTTGAACTCTGCCCTTCTGACCAGAGGTAGGGACATTATCATTGTGCTGCAAGAGCCTCATGATAGATATTTCTAATCAACCTCTCCAGACATTTTATGACACACCTCTGGAGCAGGTGAGGCTTTAGCCTGGGCAAAGAGCACCTCTACAATGTGGTGGCACCACCTATAAAGACAAATTTATGTTTGGGTGTTGTTATTGTAATAAGATAAAATAGAAGTGTCTTATGTAATTCAGTGGGGTATTAGTGTAGTTTTACATCAACAGGAGTGAGATTTAACAACTGTATGAAATTCAAATGATTTTCTCCATTCACATCTATACATCCCCTTAGAGTAATGAATTACTTTTTGCCTGTGACTAATGCATTACGCATTTCCTGTGTACTGTTTGTTTTTTTTTAAAGTTACAGGATGAGTCATTTTACAAGCCACAAAAATCTCCCATGGAGTGGTGGAAATATTCTTTAAACAAACCACATTGGTTCCCAGACTGCACTTACTTGTCCCCCCACCCCCTTCCTTTTTCAAAGTTACATAAGTACAGTAACAGATACCATTGCAATACTTCATCCATACTTTTCATTAAAAAAAACAAAAATAATTACCTTTCACCAGTTTAGTTACTACCTAGTATGCAATTAATGAGCTAAGTGGTGGGTGTAACTGGAGCTATATTTATCAATGAATGATTTGATGAAAAGGCTGGTAAACGAGCCTTTGCAGATAGTCAAGCAGAATCAGCTTGTACCTAACATTCACATATTCCCCTATTCCAACAGTACTAATTTTAGAACTTCTTCAGAACATCATGTGTAATTTTCTTTCCTCGTGTAGCTCTTCCTTCACCACGCTAAGACCTCTGGGCAATTTCTTACATCTCTATCATTGCATAAACTGAAGTCAGGTTAACTCTCTGCATACCATGGGATTGAATTTCCCGGTCATGATTTAGTCATTGGATAAACTTACTGAGCCATCGGGGAAATCTGTATATTTTCCTCTCATTTGCAGTTTATAGCATCTGCTTTTAAAGAATTGAGTGCAGCATATTTTCATTCTAGCTGATAAAGTCTTTGCAATCTTCTAGCCACTCCTGTATTTTCTGCCCTAACTCTTTCAAGTGCAGGAATTGCTGTGAAACCTGTTGTACTGCTGTTAATTTTTTTTTTATTCACTCATGACTGTTGGCTGGCCAGCATTTAATGCTCATCCTGAGTTTCCCTTGAGAAGGTGGTGGTGAGCTGCCTTCTTGAACCACTGCAGTCCACATGCAGTAAGTTGATGCACAATGCCCTTAGGGAGGGAATTCCAGGATTTTGATCCAGCAACAGTGAAGGAATAGAGACATATTTCCAAGATAGGATGGTAAGTGGCTT